CAAACTCCAGTGTTTGATACCAAGGCTATTGCTCTATCCTGTGGAGAAAGAGACTTCTAAAGGGCAAATTGTATAGAATTAGTCAATGAGAGCCATTAGACCAGCTGTGTCCTTTCAAACATCCACTTCTCTTTGGACTGCAGGTAGCTGAGTTGAGTCTCTGCTAGGCACACTCATAGTTTGAGATGTACCAAGACTTCCCTCAGTGATTTAGCACTTCACTCACTGCTGGACTTTTTTTCATCTGTGTTACAACTACTGGGAGTTAGAGAGCTTGTGTCAAAGTAGATATTACATTAAATTTACTCAAGACATCACAATAGCCATATGCCTTTCCAGGATATACTATTAGAACCAGATTAGGGAACAGTCTGTTCTCCATTTGACTTATTAAACCTGAGTAGAAGAAGAGAAAAATAAATAGCATGAGAAAATCAGCAATTCTGGATAGTTTCTGAATATTATCTTATATGTAAAAATATGGGAGGACTCAAAACAGGGAAGCAATCTGGACAAGGTTGTGACATTGCTACTTTTTTTTTTTCTTTAGTGAAAGTAGTTGCTTTGTGTTGAACTTTGCCTCAGGAAGCACCAAACAGATGAGACACTGCTGGGAACTTGAGGGATATTTTATTTCCTAGCAGTGAAGCTTGGCTGAGAGGCAGTCATTCAGCTACCTGCACTGGGACAATTCAGTGTGCACACCTGCTTTGATGCATAGAAATTTGTTCAGCTTTCCGAGGAGGCAATTCAGTTTCAAGTACTTTGAAACTGGAGAACTCATTAGAGTATCTGTGTTTTACTAAAACAGCATGTTTCATTGGCTCAATGTTTCCTGTGGAATGTTTTCGGTTTCAAAGTAGAAAGACACACATAGTCCTAGAATCAATGGCCATTATCTATTTTAGCTGCTGAGTTAGGATAATCTGAAGGATATATTACCAAGCTTCTAGGAACCTTCTGATGAGGAAGGGGTGCAGGTCACTTGTGGGATAGAGAAATCATGTGTCTGAGCAGGGATCTGAATCTTTTTCACAAGGGACTGTCTATTGTGATGGACCCTTTTTCAATTGTGGAGGTTACATAAATTGTACATAAAAAGTGTCAGTTCTGGGGTGGGGTTGAGGTGGAGGATAGAGACATGAAGGTATTTAGGCCTCAAGTATTTCCCATAGTTTAAAGGGTGTTTTTCCTTGCACTACCATGATTTTAGTTTTCTGACATATCCTTTGACTGTCAAGAACAAGGAGAATAGATATAGCAGTCTTTGTTACATTTTTGAAAGGCGTTATCAGACAAAAAGTTTGTAGTTCAGAAGGGATTTTGGTGTGAGGAGTGCTGAAATTCATTTCTGTGTAACTATGAATCATTGTAAAAAGGGACCTTTATTCTTCTGTAACTTCAAGTGAGCTACCACTGTGAGACACATGAAAAATTATTCAAACCTCATATCTTATTAAACTGAACTACTTTTGTTGCTTCATTGCTCCTTATTTTTAGAGCATCTAATTCTGTAAAAGTTACAGGTAGTTATGTTCCCAGAATAATAAAAGTACCCTGAATGCACAGCCATAAAACATCATTGTCCTCTTGTCAGGAATAAGACAAGGTAAGAGTCAGACAAAAGTCAAACCAAGTGTGTGTGGTATCCTGTTTGCTAGACTTGGGCTTCATTGGGCTGCAAGAATGGGGATTCCCAAGAAAAGAAGGATAAAATGCAAGAGATATTCCCATCCTATAAACAGATTCTCAGCCTTCAAATGACCACTTAAAAAGTAGTAGGGCTTGTTGAGATAGGACAAGGGGTAGTGGTTTTAAAATTAAAAGAGGGTTGCTTCAGACTAGGCATTTTTTTTTATGATTAAGGAGGTGAAGCACTGGAACAGTTTAGCCAGAAGAGGTGGTAAATGCCCCATGCCTGGAAACATCCATGGTCAGGTGCTCTGAGCAACCTGATTTTGTTGAAGATATCCCTGCTCACTGCAGGGGTGCTGATCTTGAGGTCCTTTAAAAGTCACTTCCGACCCAAATTATTCTATGATTACAGTAAGAAAAGGAATCAGACAGACTCTCAACTCAGCCTTCAGCTGAGAATGCAATTGCATTAGCCTATGAAATCAGATAGTTGTATGCACACCCACAATGTGTTTGTGTAAGTGTATGTTCAAAGCCTTTCCCTCAAGACTGAGCAAGTGTCTCGAAATCCTATTCTCACTGCCTTCATTAAAAGGTAAGTAGTAAGAGGGATCCATGAAAAACAGGATCCCTGAGTCTGAAGCTCTTTAAAAACTATAATCACTCTTTGAAAATTGTCCTGTCAGAAAACTCCCAGTTCACCCTAGTGTTGATATTTCAATAACTATAGTGGCTGGTTCAAAACCACAGAAATCATTAGAAATAAACCCCATTGCATATGAACTGTAACCGGCAATATGAAACTAACTGATTTGGATTTTTAAAAGATGCTCATGTGCTGGTCAGAGGTTAAGTCCACAGAAAATAGGTTAGATGTAATGATATATGTAATGAAAAATACCTATGCTGAAGCCCTCACGATCTTACTTTTTCAGTTTATGATGAAATTCAGAGTTATTTCACTTAGGTAGCTTAATTGAATGTAATCTTCAAGCTGACATTGACACACTAAGAGAAATCTCTTTAAAAAGATCTTGGCACCGTGGTACCTCTTATTGCTAGAAAGATCATTGAGATCTCCTATAATGTATAAATTTGTTAATGTTACTAATAAAATAATGCACATATTTTATCCTATAACATTTGGAGCTTTATCCTTTTTATCATATCACTCTTACACTGAACCATGAGAGAAAGACAATTCTTAGAACTTGAGTACTTGATAAGAAATAAAAACCCCAAAATATATTTAAATGCTAGGCATTGTTACAGAATGCATGGGTGAGGCTTAGGTAGCACTTAACTGCCATGACTTGGATTTTAAAAAATGGTAAGGCTTCAAAAATAATTTTTATTGGAATTTCCATACACAGTACAGTTTTTAAAATGTATTGCTTACAATGATTTCAGTTTTGAAAATCCCATCAGGAAATATAGTCATGTTTAGGAATCAAAATCCTTTTGCTTTTGGATGCCTCTTAATTAAATACTTAACCCTAAAAGCCACTGCTGAACCAGTTTGTTTGGAGATCAGTCAGTTTGGTTCAGGGAGAAACAGACATGTGCATTGGTGCTGTCTGCATGTGAACATGCATCTGCACAGAGGTCCTTCCACAGAAGTCCGAAAAAACTTCCTTATTACTGTGGCCATGTCATGTTTTCATTAGAAATGTTCATGCACAATATAGCTCTGCTTTCAGGCACACCACTGTCATTTTGGAGATTGATAGGAATAGAATTATTTCACTGGTGTGAGAAAAGAGTGTATTATTTCCTCAAGTACTGAATTGATGTGTGATTCAAATGAAGGAAGGTGTTACTCCTCTACCTTCAGCACAATAGACAGTCCTGATTGTCTTTTCAGGCTAGTGCTGACCCTGAAAGCGGGTTTTGCTTTTTACAGATATTCAAGAATTTTTAGTGTTTTCTTGAAGACTATATTGGGCTATGCTTCTTTTTATGGTAGTATTTGGTATAGTATTTGTATTTCTGTGCAATTATACAGTTACTTAATAAGGTCATTCAGAATCCATGTTTTTTTCTTACCTAAGATTGCTTTATATGAGAGAGCACAGTTTATTTGTGATCCCTAAGGAGAAAGTATCTAATGGAAAAACTTTGTAGGCTGAAAGACATTAAATTGTTTGGCTATAATAGTGCACAACAGTTTATTATATCTCTACTTTTCTGCCAAGGGCCAAGTCACCCAAGGGCACTTCATAAAAAATGATGATCTGAAGCTGACATTGCAGACAGACTTACCATCTTATCTTCAGGTTAATGTGATAGTGTTGGCCAGTGCTTAAAATCATGCCTGACAACATCACTGAATCATCTGTGAAGGCACTGAGCATGTTTTTCTTCAGTGTCTTTTCCAATATAACAAGGATTACTGAGAGATTTCCTACTTAACACAGAATTGTAAAGTATTTTTTGTTCATAATATGGCTAATAAAAAATAATTTCCTAAGAAAAAATTACTGTTGAGCAGAACTACAATTAGTATTGGTAATATACTAGCTAAATACTTCATCAAATAAATTTCTGTCTGCTGTTCTTAAGGAGTGTTTAGTGGCTTTTTCTCTTGTAGTATTATGGAATACCAGAGTTACCTTCTGTTTGTAGATGATAAGAAAAAATAGACAGACTCACTCTGAAATGCCAGATTTTTCCTTTCTATCTATAGGGAACTGAGATCTTCTGTGAGATAATTTCATAGTTCCTCAATTTTCTGATTTCTTGGTTAGGACTATGACATATTAATAACTTTATTGTGTGCCAACAGAGCATTGTGATTAGAATTCAAAAGTAGGATGGAAAAAAACAAAACAAACAAAAAAATCAACCCTCCAACACCATCAGGAATATTCAAGCATCACTATGAAAAACAAGTTTTTTTTTTTCCAGCTTGAAGCTCACAGAGTATATAAAAGATTCCATTAGATTCTGCATTATGCTGCTGTCAGTTGAGCCATGCTGCACACACTGTTGAATCACCGTGTGGCATATTGGTGTAGAGGGTTCTGTCTGTTAAAATAGATGACACAAGGCTAACTCTATTGTCATTCCTGTCTTCTTGTCCAGACATAGGGGTTTGGTATTTTTAAAATGTGTTTGCTGCACCATCTTTCTTACTTTTATGAGAATGAAGTTTCATGACTATTATGTTGTTTCTACCACCTACTCTTAAGTTTATGAACCCAACAGGAAACAGCCATACTCAGCTATAATTAAAAACAACCAAAACCAAGGGTCCTTTTGATGTTCCTTTTCCACCTAGTACTTTTAAGATAGCTACTTTGTATTCCTTTTTGAATTAAATCAATACAACAATGATTTTTTATGTTGTTTCTTTTCTTCCCCAGATGTACATCCAGACAACAACACTGACTATCTCCATGAGTTTAAGTGCTTCTGTGTCTCTGGGCATGCTCTACATGCCCAAGGTTTATATTATCATTTTTCATCCAGAGCAGAATGTTCAAAAACGGAAGAGGAGCTTCAAGGCTGTGGTGACAGCTGCTACAATGCAAAGCAAACTGTCACAGAAAGGAAATGACAGACCAAATGGAGAAGTCAAGACTGAACTGTGTGAAAGTCTTGAAACCAACAGTAAGTCATCTGTAGACTTGGTCAAGAGTGGCAGCACATCTTAATAGATGTACGTTCACAAGAATGCACTTTCTTTTAATAATAAACTTAATTATTTTTGTTGTTTGTTCTGCATGAATCCAGAGATGTGTCAGAATTCATGTACTGCTGAATGCAGGAATGTCTAGAGCTGTTTCAAAGAAATTGATTTTCACAGGAGGCTAGTAGAAAAAAAAAAAGCACAAGCAGATTTTGAAACGCCACATCTTTTAAAAATTGTTTGTTTTAGCTAGTGCTATTTTGATGTGTTGTACATTGCTGTGCCAGTGGTATGTCCTGACAGTTCATGAGGTGTATTTATGGTCATCATTGTATATTCAAAACTCAAAGGCTGTTAAAAAAAAACTACAATGAAAACAGCTAGCATTGTTTTTATTTTGCAGTCAGATATGGAAGAGAAAATAATGCTTTTTACCTTTCTACCTTCATATTTGTTGGATTGCTCATTTATCACAACTCATGAGTAACACTTCCCAGCATAATGCTTCCCATCCAGTTTTTTGTTCTGGTCTCACTCATCCTGGTACAAAATCATGATAACTTGTGTGAAGCTTAATTAAAACATGTTCTGATATATCATAGATTTTTAATGGGAAAAAAATTCTTCCACATGTCAGGAAAGTTCTTGAATCTTGCTATATCTCAAAATTGCTGTGGTACAGATAAAAACAGAAGTTATAGCTCCCATTCCACCACATGACATACCATTTTATAAACTGGACTTCCTAATAACAATAATAATCAACTATGAGCAAAGACATTAACCTTATACCCAGTGCAGAGAAATTGAGAATTGTTTTCTTCTGAGAAAACAATGTCACATTAGAGGGGCAGCAGCTGTGGCAGCTAAGCATTTCAGTCATTTTACTGCAAACAACATGGTTTATTTTTAATTTTTATCGCTTTTGGATGAAATTGGTGTTTAAGTAGTACTGTTTTGGTTAAGCACATTAAGACAAGCCAGTACCAAGTTTACATTAAACTATTGTACTTATTTCTGATAAATGAATACCCCTATTGAAATCTATCAGAGTTTGCCAGATTGAAGACTATATAAAAGTAGTCCATAACTCTACCATACTATACTATACTATGCTTGCTGATGCATGGAGGATACTGGGTGCAAACTGTTTCACTGGAAAACTCATGACCCTTCAAAATGTGTAAAACTGCTAGAGTGAGCTACGGGCTTATAGAGCTTCAGACTGAGATATGTAACAAAGGACAAACAAGAAAGGCATAGAAATTATTTGTGGATCAAATAATAGAATAGAAATATGAAACACTCAGTAATTTTGCAACTCTTCAGAAAACTCAGAAGGAAAAAAGGAAAAGAGACATGGATTTTGCTGAGTGTGAAAAATTATAAACTTCCAAGGAGAGGATAAAGCAGGGTTTTCACAGTGGGGTGAGAAAGAGTGTTAATAAGAAAGTCTTGGATATCTGATGTTTATCTACTGTACCTAATTAAGAAATGCTGTGACTGAGATTCCTTAAACTATGACTATACATAATTCATAGAAACAGATGCTACAGGAAGCAAGTCTGCTTCTCAAACAGTCCAATACTGCAGGGTAATGCTTATTTACTGTGCTCTAAACATGACTTTAACAGTAACACACCTATATAATTCTGAGCTCACTAGGAGTATATCCTGACAAGATTTTCATCCATCATAATGCTTCATAGGCAAAAATTCAGTCAAGTCATCTGCACTCCAGAAAGCTCTCCCTATGTAATTGAGTTCTAGGCCTTAAGATGGGTTTCTCTCTTCCCTGAAATAATTATTGTCAAAGCATTTGAAAGTTCCTGTGAATTTTAAGTGCACAATGCAGCATAAGTCCTTTTCACTGTGTCACTTGTAACAACTTCTCAGCGCCACAAAACTTCTTCTTGCAGTGACTGCATCTAAGATAGAGCTTTCTTTTCAGTGACAGCATATGAAGCTGATTGCAAAGTATCAGTCCACTTCCAGTATACCAGAAGTGAGCAGTGATTGTTTCCCCCCTTTACCAAGCACAAACACTAGAAATGATAGCAGTGCTCATAACTAGGTGAGAAACAGGATGAGATAGCCACATAATCCCTTTTGCTTCCCCATCCAGAGACAACTCTGCTCTATCTAGTTTGTCCTGTTCCATGTAACACACATTATTCTATGTTGTCTTCCACATGAATATGTTCATGGGTTTATTTGTGGGAATAGGTCCGTATTCAGTGAAAAATAAATTGTTTCTGGGAAAAAGGATTAAAAAAGCTATCCAGGTGTGGTTACAGAAGGCAATGACAAGTACATTAAATGAATATAGGTCAGATCATAATAATCATTCTACATTGCTCTTTTATTTTCTTCCTCTTTTTTTGTTTCAACAGCAAAGCAGCAACTGGAGCTATAAAAGTGTGTTTATTCTCAGAAATATTTTGAGCCAAGTCCATTACTTTTTCTGGCCATCTAGGCTTGCCAAATGTGGTTCACGTTATTATTGTGAAATGCTAACCGTCTTAAAGAGCAGGACACCAGCTGCTGAAGCTTTCAGATCCCCAATCATGAACTCTAGACTAATTCCACAGAACTAAAAAGACACATGCAATATTTATAAAGTAAAAAAACCCCAAACACTGTTTGGAGATGAGATTAGTTTTAATATATTTCAAACCACTGTCTACATTAAATTCTTGCATTATAATTTTTTAAATTAACAACACACAGAACTCAACTGGATAATTTATGTTTCTTGATCAACTCTAGATTAATTCTATCAAAACTGTTTACTTCTCAGATACACAACAAGGTTACAGTAGTTTAACAAATTATATCAGCTGAGGTGTGTTAATTACTATTTTTGTATTTTGTACTGTATTCTTGCAAATGTCCTCACATAATTCAGCTTGCTAAGTTGTGATAGATCTGATTATGTTACATTGCTGTGGGCTAAAAACAAGCACATGTAAACTTATCAGAGAACTCAACTCAACTCATACAGGATAATGTGGTAGTCTAACTTAACCTGATCATGTATCTGATCCTACTTTCAGGGAAAGGGAAAAAAATAAGCTCTGATCTTTCTATCCTTTTGTTCCCAAGTGTGCAGAGTTTGCAGATGAACATTTATCTGTTATTTATTTGCTGGGAAAAAAAAATCCTTCTGTGCTTGAAGATCCTGGTGCCATTTCATTAGTCCTGCATTATTTTGAGTAGGAACTCAGCAGGCCAAAAGAAAAAATAGAATCCTCTCAGGAATCCAGCTGTGGGAGCATGAGAGAGTTCAGACAGGAGTGGTACATCCCATTTGAAAGATCTGAAAGATGTAAATTAGGCTATACTTGCTTCAAGTGTCCCAATACATGCAAATAAAGCTATTTCATGTTGGTGCTCGAATACTGTGATCAACTATGAGAAAGACTTGCTTTGTGTGCCAAAAGCAGTCCTTTCATGAATTAGCTTTTTCTAGACACAAAGTACTGGAACTACCTGTGCAAGTGAAAGTAAGAAAAATTACGTCTTGCAGCTTTTGTTTGATTATTCATACTTATATATATTCTTAGGGAAAAGGATTATCGTAATATGTGAATTAAATAGTCTGGTTCTGTTGTGTCTTAAAAAATGGCAGATGCAGTATTAGATTTAAATTGCTCAGCAAATCTAAGAAAACATGACAAATATCAAGAAGTAAACTTAGTTATGCTAACCACTATTAATTTGCATCCATTTTAGTGATCCTTTATTTAGTTTAATCCATGATGCAGAAGAAAGGAACTGTCATTGCCCAGTTTCTGTAGTCTGTTCTTCACAAATCATCAGACTGTTGGGCTGAATTTAGGAGTTAGCATGAAGAATGCTTTTCCTATCTATCTCAGCTGTTCTCACCAGACTCTATATAGAAAAAAGAAACAAATTGAAGAAAGGTATGGAAATAGAAAATTTGAATCTATAGACCAGAAAACTTTTTGCCATCCTGTTATTTTCATCTTGCTAGCTGCAATCTTCACTATCATAAGCAGAACATGTCTGTAGCAGACGGAATATAAAACATATTTAGAAAGTCAAATTCCTCTTTGTGTAACATAGACCTTGTTATAGAGAAATAAGAGACTCAGTCCCCCATCAGCCTGATTTTCCATGTACCCAGCTGATTTAAAATAAGAGAACTAACTATGAGACCTGATGCAATCACTTTTCTCCTCCAACCATTTAATTAACCTTGACTGATATGACTGGAGTCATATTTTTATAGCATATTTTTTATATTTCTTAATAGCAAGGATGTAAGGGCTAGAACCTGAAACAAACTTTCTTAAGATTCCTAGTTGTTCAGTTTTGCAATAGTGGAGCTGTTTAATTCTCTCAATATATTGCTTCATTCTGAACAAGGAGTATCAGCTTAGATCAAAAGAAGACATGATCAGCTGGCCATCAACATAAGGAGACCATAATTTTCTCCAGATAATATGTTCTGTAGGGACTATCTGCTCAGTTTCTCTAATTTGGAAAGGGTTAGGCTTTGCTCCTTTCAAGGAGCATAAGTCTCTTTTTGGATGGACAAACCACCACTAACTGCAATGTTGTCTTGAAACAGTAGAAGAGAAAGAAAAATCCGGTCTCTAAATTAAAACATTTTTATATGGAATTCAGACAAAATAACACAAGGTGTTGAAATTCTGTTGTGGGTATGCTGAAACCACTCATCATTTTTCCTTTCTATTGACCTCTGCTTTCCCAAATCATAGAAGAAATAAATTGTCATGAAGACAGAAATTGAGATCCAGTTTATATACTGCTTACATACATCGTTATACATTCTTTATTCCATGAACATGGACCATATTGTTTGGAAATATAGCAGGACATTGTCTGAATTCAAATGCTAAATATGATTTTTTTCCTCCTCTCTTGATTCTAAAAATCCTCAACTTTGTTTTTTTTTTTTGTTTTTTTTTGTTTGTTTGTTTGTTTGTTTTTGGTTTGTTTCTTTTTCTTTTGATTTACAGCCTCCTCTACCAAGACAACTTATGTCAGTTACAGCAATCAGGCAAACTGAGCAGGGATGAAATTCACTGGAAGATCTGCAGGACTGGATCTTGCAAACATAGACTTTACCACCACCAGAATTCAGTCTTGAAAATATCAGTAGTCTACATTCAAATCAATAGTCAGTCTCCTAAAGAACAAGGATTAAACACAAGCAAAAGGCAAAAAGAGACAGGGGAAGGAAAAGTCCAGTTTTATACCATAGAGACAGAGTGTCAAGCTTCTGAACTGTTCACTCACAAAAGGAAGCAAATCACAAATGGAAGCAAATCACAAAAGGAAAACAAATGTTAGCTTGTGAAAAAAAATGCTGTTGAAATAAATCATGTCTGATGTTATATTTGTAAGTACTTTTTTGTGATTGTGACAATTTCCTTTCCTGTCCTACATTGTTCAACTCGTAAAAGAAGATGAGTTTGTTTCTTGTGACGGCTGACTGAATTAAGTCCTGGGTTATGCTAAAATAAATGCAATGGTCAATGCATGCTAATTTTTATACAAAATAATTTATTTCTAATAATAAAGGAATGTTTTGCAAATGTTGAGACTTGTTTTGTTGCAGTTTTAAGCAAAAAAAAGTCCTTACACTGTTGTCTATTGTTTGTTTAGAATGTGCAGTAAAGGTGGGTGTACAAATAAAATAATAATCATGGCATCAGAAGAATGCAGTGTAAACTCTAAGCATGTGTGTATGTATGCGTGTATGTGTGCACCTGTGTGTGTACATACGTGCATGCCTGCCTGCATGCGTGTGTGTGCGTACTCTGCAGTGTGTGAATTTATTTGTTCAAAGCTTTGTGACTATATTTTCTAATGGAAGGATTTTTTCCCCTCTTCTTACCCTCAAAGTAAGTTCATTTTGTATGTTTGTAAAGTAAAGGAGTCCTGATAGTAATTATTTTGTATGATTGTATTATATTTTTGAGTCTCCACTAATAATTTTGATCCTTTTCATTTCTGGAACTTACAGTTTGTAAGACTTTATGACAGCTAGACTGGATTAAGCTGAAAGTCTATTCAGCCTAGTATCCTGTCTCTGACAGGAGAATGTAGCAGATGCATATCTCAATAAAGGTGACTTTGAAATAACAGCAGAGAAATCAATGAAGAATTTGGAAAGCAGTAGCCTAGTGAATATATGTACTATTGCCTTATAAATACTTACAAATCAAAGAAATAAATGCCAATCTACAATCTAATCTTCTTCACATCTTCTAATTCCCATCATTGTGTGAGGTTAGAAACAACTATGCAAAGAGAAAGAGGAAATCACATTTATATCTATTGTGTTAATGAACCCCTCCAAATAATTAAAAAAAATACAGATAGTTACTGTCCCTTGTGTTACTACACCTGTGATGGATGTTCTGTAAGACTTTTTTGCTCCATACAATACCTACCATTCATCAAGTCAATGGGTCCTCACATGCAGCTCATTATTAAATGTTATGTCTCCTGACTTAGCCTGGATGCCTCCTTGTGATTTTATCCTCACAGCAGACGTTTTATTATAACATATCTTAAGGGAGCCATGGTGGGTCCTAAATTACATGAATGAAAGTTGAAGTATCTGAAACTGAATTTCTTTCTATTAAAATGCCAGTATTTAAACTTTAGTGTAGCTGGCAACTGTATGACAATGAGTGTCCATTTTCAAAGTATTTGATAAAACATAGTGTTTCCAGAAATTTCATGTCTGAAGAATTATCTGATGATTGCTATGGTTTATATGTCATTGTGGGCATGGTATGAGTGATATTTTGTGTGAAATTTTCTTTTCTGGATATGCCACAAGCACATCAAAGTCAAAACTATAAACTACATATGCTTACTTTAAAGCATATAGATGATGCAGGTTATGCAGTGAAACCTGCAAAAAATAATAAAACAGCTTTAGTTCTGTTTTTTTAGCCAATATCTCATAAAATTGAAGTTTTCTTGTGGAAATAGATTGATTAGATCAATTTTTGACAAGACAGATTTTCATGCCTAAGATGGATTTCCTAAAAGAGAAAGAAAATCTGTTTTATCTGAAAAGCAATATTTTGACAGAGTTTCTTTTCAAGAAGCCTTTGAAAAGTTTAATTTTCAATACATGATGAAAAAAAGTTTCAGATACTTTGAAATATCTATACCTATTAACTTAAGCTTAACCCCATGTATTTGAAAAAGCTGTACATGGGAATTGCCTTTAAAGCACATTTCATTTACACATAAACATATGTTAGATATACATAAAGACTAGTATATGATATATAAATATCTTCCAGCTTCACAGTAGTCCGAAGAAAATGTTATTGTGAAGAGATTTGCAAGGATCAATATACATTTTCTTTTGGTTGAATAGGAGGTTAAATATGGAGTGTAAATTAGTATGTACATTTCTGTGTAACTCTCTCTGAACCATGGAGCATATTAAGGCTGTAAGTCCCACTGGCATTAATGTAAATAATCAGATAAATGAGCACACAGTATGAATTACAGAACAGCTCTGGTCTACAGGTTTCCCTTCAATAGGGTGGTTATGTGCAGTTTGTGAAAATGCGCAGAATACTCCACTCAGATTGCACAGTCATTCAGTAGTGGAGATCTTGAAGTTTAATAACTAAACTTTTGCATAGGTGCAGTAATTTTTTCCATTATAAAATGTTTTTATTCTACAAAGTTCTGCTCATGGAGAAGCAGGCTATTCAATTGCTATTACTGATAATTTGTGTGTGATTATGCTGAAGCAACTTCATCAGGGCTCAAAATTTATTTTTACTGGCAGCATACACAAGTCCTAAAGGTTGTTTTGTGACTGCAAGATAGATGCAATGAGATGTGAATGACTCTATGTATCAGGTCAATGAACCAGGAATCAAACAGAACAGACAATAATTTAACTGTTCTATAGAAGGAGTAATGAGCTATGGCATCTAAAATCTCCTTTTTCAGAAATGCCCAAAGAACAATTTCCACAAAAGTGTTTTTAACTAATAACATTACCTCTCTTCCAATTAATAGATAATTTTTAATACTAAACAAGAAAACAAATAAATTAAAGAGTTACTAAGAGATACAGTTTGTAAATCTATTTTATTGGAAGAAAACTTATTAATTTATGCATCTACTCCAAGGCAGAATGTGAAGACAGAAGACATAAAATGGTGCAGGGAGCAGTAGGATTTGTTTTAAAAATGTGCATAAATGATCCAGTATATTTCACCTTCACATCAGCCATTAAATAAAATGATAGCTTATTATGCTTTTAATTAACTTATGTGCCATGTGGTATAATTAGAAAATTACATATTCTGGTTGAATTTTGAAGAGCAAAATTCAATGTCAAAAGAGGGAAACATTACTTTTTCCAGTTTTGATAGTATCTAATGTAATGGCACCTTTAGCTCTTGTGATACTGCAATTATTTGCATAGAGAAAACACCGTTTTACAAGCGTGTTTCATTTGCTGTGGATTATTATTACTTGCAGTCTAAATGGGAAAAAGTCTTTTTCTCAGCAAGAAGTCATTTCTTTTGGACTTTCTCCTGAAATTTCAGTAGCTAATAGGAGAGTAAGGGATGTATATCACTAATACTTATTCTGCTTCCCAGGCAAGTAAATTATTGCTATTAATGGGTTACGGCAAATACCAGAATGAACAGATTTTATCTGTGGACTGCATCCTGTACTTCTGAAAATAGGTAATTTATATTGCCTCCTACTTAGCTTAAAATTGCCTTCTTTCTTAGCTTAAATTTACTAGTAAGATCATGAGAACTGAAAAATATTTTGGTGGAAAAACTCTGTTGCATCTGTGAGATGAAAATAAGCTGGCTGACATGAAAGACAAATTCATGTGGAAACATTTTGGTTGTAATAACTTAAAGGAAATTGGAAAACTTACTAATGAATATATTAAAAGTTTTATCAGGAAATAAACTACAAATGAGGAGTGTGTTTAGCTTGTTTCACCAGATTCTTATGAAGATTTTCAGGTTGTCTTAAAAGGTTACTGTAGAAGTCTTTGCACATTTCATATATTTTGATAACTGTAAATTCCTCTGTCACATTCAAACACTAAAATAATGGAGAATATTTTTTTTTCACATTTGGCATTATAGTGTGACAGCAGGCCATTAACTGCAAGGAACTTATTATTTTATGTGGTACAGCAGCAGGAAAGAGAAAACAGCATTGTCCCAAATGCTGAAACAACGCTGGAAGTACAGTAAGATGCACAGTGTCCTTAATGACAAACCAAGCTCCTGTTTGTATTACACAAATACCTTATCTCCTGGTAGAAGTGGAGTAATATGACATGCAGAAGAGTATGGAAATGAAAGAAAAAAAGAAAAGTGACAGAGTCACAGTATTGAAAAGTGTCAAAGGACTGTACCAGCTCCAGACACTGACATCTGTAAAGGGCACACTCCATGCCAGAGTGGGTGTTTTTACATCCACATCTTACATCCACAGAACTGCAGTGAGAAAACTTGACAAAATAATCAATGGAAGTCATCAGAGTTAATGTTGGAGAAGGTAGCAAATAACGAAACAGATTCATTTTTCTTTAAAACTCAAGCAAATATTATGGTGGTGCCCAAGGAATAGGCAAAACTTTCTGCAAAGACCTGCAAATACAAGTATGCTAACATTTTTTTCACAAGGTGTAGGCTGTGATCAAAAGTTGCAATGTCACAAATTAGACAGCACCTGTCTTTCCACCAATGAATTAGCTCATTTTATTTTGTCAATGACTAATTCAGTGCCAGGATTTCAGAAAAACTCTGGAGATTTCCTGGTCCATCATAACCTAGTCTGAGAAAGAATCAGATGACATTTTCCAAAATAAAGGGAAAATTTCTCTGTAAAACTGATTTTGTTTTTACTTAACTTTTAAATTTCCAGGTCACCAATATATTGAACAACACTGCAAGTGCACTAACTTCATCCTCATCTCAGAGGAAGGAAAATATAAATTGCATGGCTGGTATCACATCCTGCTTCATGCACAGGTGTCTTTGATGTTCTTTGAATAAGTAAAAGCCAAAGTAAAACATTATTCTGAAAAAAAATCTGCAAGATTGATGTTATTAAAAAGTGCTATTTATAGTGCTAGTTTGAAAGCCTTTTTTTGCTTCCTGTTTACCTGATACATCATTTGCTCTGTTTCTGGAAGCCTACTGTACTCCCCAAGTTGGCTGCAGTGTTTTTACTGTCTTTGTGATCACTATCACACCAATATTGAACAAGTATTACCTTTAATAAAATAAACTATATTTATTTAACTTACAAGTTTTATTTTTCCTAATCTTGCCTGAAAGTTTGATGACCTTTTCAACAGATATGGTTTGATTTATGACTGGTCAAAATCTTTCTTCAATACAGCTTCTAGTAGTTTTGTCTTACTCCAATTATAGTTTTTTTCAAGTATTGCCTTTGATATTATGGAAGAAGACAAATTAATAGAGTAAATAAATGTCAAGAAAAGGAGCAATATGAGGAATAAGAGGGTGAAAACTGCTTGAAGAAGGTAACACAACTCCAGACAAATGATTTCTTTCTTTTGAGGAATAGAATACCCATCCACATCTAAAGACAGCTTCCATAGGCTGCAGCTGGAAGTCTTCCTCAGTGGCTGTTTTCTCAGAAAATCAACTGGATTAGAATGGTATTCATTTGCATGGAATTTTAATAAAATAAAAAAAAAAAGAAGAGAGAGTGAACAGGTGAAAATGAATGTTGGAGAGGCATAAGGTATATTGAACTGCCAAATTTTTGAGAACTTGCTCATTACAAGAAGAGTAAAGATTAAATAATTAAAATAGTAAATCAGAGATGAACCTATCAATACTATCAATTTGTTTACATCTCTCATATATTACAGGTTGTAAAGAGTACCTCAATATTACTTGTCTACTCTTTTCTAATGAGAAATTCAGTTCTTACAATGCACATAATTCTGGGAGGATACAGAGTAGTAAATATAACTGTATCCATATATTCTGTCCTAGCTCGACATAGTTTTTCATCAGAAGTGCTAAAGACTTCTGAAAAAAAATATGTTATTTATTTCTTCATATCTATGGTTCATACACTTACCTGAAAATACAGAAGGCATTGCAATAATTTTGATATCGATGTTATCATTTCTGGTGAGAGCTTCCATCCTTTGTCATTGTTTGCAGTGTGACACTGAACAAGGAATGACAGAAAGATTAGTTTTATACAAAATTCAGGATATTCTTCACTGAATGACAGCTATGGAACACACAATTTGCAAGATAAAATAACAATAATATATTTATTTCAAATGCCAGACTGAGGGTACTTTATAAATAACTGTCTAAAACACTGAAAGTTTAGGATAGATGCCTTAAAGTGTGTTCCAGAGAGAGTTTCAAAGGCCTGTGTTTCAGAACCTGTTGTTTCACTTAAGAAACATGAGCTGTTACTTCAAGAGACAGACCACACATAAAACTAGAAAAGGGAGAAACAATAACACTGGCAACACCATAAACATTACAGGTGAAAGAAATTAACCACTTGTTTTTTT